ACTTCCTCGCGAATGCCGGAAGCAAAGGGAAAATATTGGATATAATCCTTTGGCGGATGTTTCTCCAATGTTCTGGCCAGGATCTTACCCTTTTACTACAGAGCTATAGAAAGAGTTGGTCCTTAGATTCCATTGTCCAGGTCAAATAACCTAGAATAGTAATCGTCAATTTTAACGAGCATTCGTCGGTCCGTGCGAAAGGAGTGGAGTCAGATAATAATTTCATTTATTTATTACCACCATAATTAGAATTATCTCTGAATACTTTTGCAATTAATCTCTTGGTGTATGAACTTACAGATTGACGTAATTGAGAGAAAAAATGTATAAAAAAATGTTTAAGAATATTCTTCACTTAAATCGATTAGAGCTTAATACTCGTTTGCAAGTTAATGCCTATTAAACGCATTAAATAGAATTAAACTGTCTTTTAGGAAATTGTAAACGTCTCATGAATACGAAATTAACAAAATTAATGTTAACGTTGACGTGATGTTGGCAAAATGTTTTTACGCGTAAATATTATTTAAGTATAAAATCATAATTTAAATGAACTATCAACCAACTGTTGATAGCATACGAGTTGTTATGTGCTATGGGATTGCTTCTACCTTCTACAGCTTGCATCCTTCCGACCGAAAAGCATAACTTTTCAAATTCTTTCACGGCTGATGGTAGTGAGTGATATCGTCATTTTCATTATTGTTGTCGTTTCACTTTTTATCGGTGGTTAGTTATTCCCCATAAAGAACTTTTGAATTAAATACTGCACAACGATAACACCCAACATAGTCTTAAAGAAATAATTCAAACCAAGCAAAAAAAATAATAAAGATGAACCCTTAACTCAGCACTTATAAGAGGAAGCTGGTGTTGTGTTGTTGTGTTGTTGTGTATGAATGAAACAGCGAGAAGCTTGGAATTGGTGAAACAACACCACAAAATATTTCATTTATTTGTTAGCTGGAATGATGACAACAACTATTATATAATTGTTTGTGGGTGGGAGTCTATTTACCTTCATAAGCCTTAAAAGTAGGGTTTCCCATCAGGAAAGGCCTGCTTTCCTGTTCAGGAATATCGTGGCATAAGTGTGTTTAAGAAATTTTTAAAAATTTGTAAAAAATAACTTTTTTAAGAAGGAAATAATGCAGTCATGAGAGGCAGTCTGTCATCTCAGAATATCCACTAATCCAACACCATAAGTATGAGGTTTCAGATTTCTACTTTAATTTTTGCAATCGCAATGGCCGACATGGACAGACAAGGCTGGTTCGATTGTTACGCCCAGTCAAGAATTTGGATAAGTTATGAAGCATATGACAATTCAGTTTGACAATTCAATCAAATTTGCAGTGATGAGTTATTTTGTTCCCCAGCCATATAAAATTTTTCCAACGAACGAAGAGAGTTGATTATAACAGAAACCCTATTATGAAGACAATCTTAACAGGATACCGAGGTTACGTTATGGCGAATTCGCAGAACTGAGATCAGTTGATTTCCTTCGTTATTATTTAACGGTAAAGCAGTCCTCACATAAAGGAATAACGGTTATCTAAAATAAAAACTTTTACTGGAATTAAAATCATTACACATTCTGTAAGTGAAATACAGGAAGTGAAAGTGCAACGCATTTAAATTGGGCCAAAGTCTTTAATATCCGAATACATAAAACGTTACTAGAAGGAATTTTTTCGCTGATGTATTATTAGCGAGAGCTTCAACGGTGATCTAATCAGGTGGATACAATTTTCAAGCGGTTTCTTTTTTTCTTTTTTTTTTTTTCTAATCAAAAAAGAACATTTAAAGAAAAGCAAATAAGAAAATTATATTCGGCTGGGAGCGAATCTCGCATGCCCAAGGATTGCATTAAAATCTTTGACGGCCCATGGTTTTATTTATTGTCATAAAAAAGTGAATTCGGTAAAATTTATGCAAAAGTATTGTGAAGAAAGATTAATTTACGACGTCGTGACGCCCTTAGTTTAGAATAAACACGCTTGCCTTGTCGCGTTCTACTGCCCAAGCCCTTTTATGTGACATCCATGGCAATGGTACTATAACAGAATAATTAATTCATTACCACGCCCACCACACTTAATTTAGAAATAACACATTTGCTTGCTACTGCCTACTAATCTCCAAGTGCTTTCATTTCATATCCATATCACAGGTGTTATTAAGAAAAAATTAATCCACCGGGTCGTGACGTCCACTATATTTATTTTAGAATTATAGGCAGACAACATATCTTCATTTGAGGAGTGGACGAAATATGATTAATAAGAATAAAAGCTCAAGAAAGTGAAAAATGGAAATTTAATCACTTGTTACTCTGGTGGGCGTGGCGGGCTTTTTTCGTTTTTGTACATAGAAACTGGGGTTTTTCATAAGGTAAATGGGAAAAATTTCACTCTTCGCTCTTTTATAATTGTTGAGTAATGAGCAAAATTCCCACAAAATTTTGTTTTACAAAGACGGAGTAACGTTCAGTTTACGCTTCACTGCGGGTTTAGGATCCCTTGACACATTTTCAGTAACAATTTACTCGCAAAAATTTCCAAAGTTTCTAAGAAAATTGAAGTGGATATATTCATATTTGCGATCAGGAGACACACCATACAGACACACAAAGAGGGGCAGACAAGGCTTAATCAATTCAGAGCAGCATGCTAATCAAGAATATATACACTTTATAGAGTCTCTCAAGCTTCCTTCTGGCAATAATCTCGACTAACATCTAGAAATTTTCACATCCAGCAAAAGACTAATTCTGCTAAGACTATTGATATAGCTCTTGTTTGCATTAAAATCGAACGATTTTTATCAAAACAAAATCGATGTTTTTGCCTGAAGGTAATCGGAATCTTGTCAGAATGCTTTAAAGTTGTCATTTCCCCTAATTCAGATGTATTCCGGAAGGCAACTTCGAAGTTTGCCTTATTAACTAGTTAGTCGACTGATTTTAAATCGATGGTCGACAATTTCGGGGATTGTAACTAAAAATATTTATGACATATTCCCCAACTGCAGGTGCAAATCTCTCTTCGAATACTTTTAAAAGTACAACAAAAGCTTTGCCGCTTCCCTGCCCTATTTGCTTTGCATCGTCTTTTCTTATTGCACCTATGACATAGGCCTCAAGGTGGAATGCGCCTCTTTTGAAATCTATTCTAACGTGACCAGAAGGAATTTACAAAAGAAAGAATTCGACGCTAATACGGGAAAGAACATATTTTGCTTAATCACAAACTTGCTATATTCCATTTTCCAGGGAACCCTATATATAGTGTTTTATTATGTTGGCAAATTTACAAGGGATGACATTTTATTGCTCGAAAGAAGCTCGAAATATCCGTGTTCACATTAAACCTTTTCGACTGAACGCAGTGAGTCATCTGTTATTGGTTTCCTGATTCGCAGAAGAGGAAGAAGAAGTTCGAAATTTTACGACATACGACCGTTCTATAGAAAACCGTATTATGTGTATCGGGCAAAACTCAAATGTGGAGTTTACATTGACGATGCGTAATGGTTCTCCAATCAGGTGGCGAAACCATGGCCTATTGCTGTCTATGATTTTTTTATGTTAGGTCGACTATTCTACGCATTCGTTCTGAATGTTAGAGGTTTTGAGATTGCAGAGAAGCGATTTTAATATTAGAAAGAATTGTTGCTTAGGAAAAGTTTATTTCTTAAGAAGTGAAGCATATTCGCTCACAAGGTGTGTCTCGTAATGTCGTATAAAAACAAGAAGAAGGAAAGAAAAAGATCGTACAAAGATATAAAGTGCTGACTGAAAAGATGTAAGATTTGTCTAAAAATGGTGAATGGGAACAAATATTTTCGAAAATGTCGTCATATTGATGTAAGTACCTGATTCCTTTTTTGGTGGAAGACAGAGTTCAGCAGAATCACTAACAAAATTTTATGGCATATGACAAGATAAGACAGGCAGAGCAATCAAATCCACTACGAAGGGAACTTTTTACACCAACCTTATTAAACTCTTATATGAATGTTTCTGAGTATGCTGATGAGCTGTCGCCTCGTCTTAGCGATTTGGTGCCATTCCAATAGCGCTTTTTTAGATGAACTTTGGAAATATTCGTACAAATCTTTTGATTGTTTATACAAGTTTTGCTCTAAGGTAAAGAACATTTTTTCTTCCATTTTCACGTTTATTGCTGGCTGCTCGAGTTAGAAGTCAACATCTTTTCTTCTCGTCGCAGTGTACTTGCCGCATCGGTAGCAACGAATGGGAAAGCCCTATTTAACCTTTGGGCATACTTTAATTCAATTCTTTTTTTTTTTTTTTTTGAGTTTGAATTTGTGGGCTGATCTTTACGTTATTGAAGTAAGCTTAGCGATGGTCTTATGGAATTATACTGCGTGAAAGTTCATGGACACACACTAAGGACCAAGTCCAACTTTATATCTTAATTTTTACTACCATGGCCGTCTTGTCGCAATTTTTGCCTATAAACGGGCGCACAAGCGGGCATGAGTAAACGAATCTCATGCTGATCAGTGCTTAACTGAATACTCTAGTTTCCACGCACAGAAGGTGTATTTAAAATCCACGCGCTCGCTTTGCAAAGTGTACAAATATAATGAGACGACGAATTGTTAAACAACTGCTTTGACTACGATGTGGCTTTTCACACCCACCACTGTAAGATGTGGGTATACCCATTTTGCTTTTTTGGGTAGTGTACGTAACACCCAAAAGGAAATCGGTCGGAGGGGAAGCGCGCAATGGAGCGTAAACTGAACGCAACTCCGTCTTTTTAACAAAAATTTTTGGATATTTGCCCGTTAGTCGGAAATTATAAAAGTTAGAAAACTGAAATTTTCCACATTTACTTTTCGAAGCACTCTACTCCTTATCGCAAAAATGGAAAACATCCGCCATGCCCACACAAAGTTACAAGTAATTAAATTTGGTTTTTTTCACTTTATTGAGGTTTTATTCTTATTTATCATAAAGCACACCAGACAGAATGTTTAAAACTATTTTGTACACTCCTTCGATGAAGGTATATTACCTGGGTATGCGAGATTTGGCCCCAGCTAGCCTGGAAGCGACCCATATCGGGTGACGCTATTCTGTTTAACAAAACATTTTCTAAACCTAAGGGAATGATGACTTAAGTGAATATATGCTACAAATTCGCGTTAAAGCGAATTTGGCTTTCTGACGGGTTCGCAATCTCTTTGGTGTCATAACGTTATGAACATTGGCCAATATAACCATAGGCCATTCTCTATCCGCAAATCGAGAACATAAGATTATGGTTCAAATTTTGCTATCGAAAGAGTTTGAAATTTCTATTTCCGAATTCGGGACGTCCACGTAAAGGCGAATCTTCAACTCACTTTTATTTTCGCTATAAATATTCAACGTTCGCTACAAGTATTTATTTACGACCACTAACATATAAGGAATCTATAAATTTTAGTATAATTGAAATCGAGATCAAATGGAAAATTGTTCTTGCTTTCGTAACACGTAAAAATATCCGCTGGGGAACTTATTATGTATATGTTCGCGAGGGGTATATTGTAAATTGATGAAACAATGTCCCGTGCTACTCAGTTCATTTGTGATCAGACACTTTGCCAGATATAAAAAAGAAGCTATACCTTAATACATATATCCTCAACGCATATCCGTAAGCTAGGATTAAATTTCTTTGTTAGACCTTTGCAAGTACGTTTATAGGTGCGTAGTGGCCATGAATAATTCATTCAAAGACGAGTTACATTTTCTTGAATTGATCATTTTACGCGCAATTGATTGCATTTTATTAGATTTTATTTGCACATCCAAAGCAATGGATAGCCATGAATTTCGTAAACGTGGAACCGAAATGGTTGAATATATCTGTCAGTACTTGGAAACCCTCGATCAGCGACGAGTTATACCGAGTGTGGAGCCTGGTTATCTAAGGCATTTACTGCCCGGTACGTGAAGTGGTTTATGCGAGAAAAAGTGTGCGAAGTTTTATAGAAATATTTACGGTTACAGCGGAAGCTCCTCAGCAACCCGAAAGTTGGGATACAATTATGGCTGATGTAGACGATAAGATATTGCCAGGCGTAACGCATTGGCAGCATCCACGGTTTCATGCTTACTTTCCGGCAGGCAATTCATTTCCTTCTATACTAGGGGATATGCTGGGTGATGGTATTGGATGTATAGGTTTCTCATGGGCTGCTAGTCCAGCCTGCACTGAATTAGAGACAATCGTGTTGGATTGGTTGGGCAAGTGACTAAATAATATTTAAAAATTTTTTGAAGAAAACCTATCAAGATTTGTTCAATATACTAGGTAAAGCTATAGGGTTACCTGATCATTTTTTAGCTTTGAAAAATGGCAGCACTGGTGGTGGAGTTATCCAGGTTAGTATGTGTAAATGTTCTTGAATTTTACTCCCATTGATATGCTTGAAAATTTTATTGGCAGACGTCGGCCTCGGAATGTATTTTAGTTACTATGCTAGCGGCTCGCGCTCAGGCTATAAAACGTCTTAAATCTCAGCATCCTTTTGTGGAGGAGTGTCACTTGTTATCAAAACTTATGGCATACTGTTCTAAAGAGGCTCATAGTTGTGTGGAAAAAGCAGCTATGATATGCTTTGTGAAGTTGCGTATATTGGAACCAGATGAAAACGCCAGTCTAAGAGGCCATGCCTTATACGAGGTACTCCCAATGTTCACTTCTTGTATATGTATTAGAAATTATTACTTGCATGTATGCAGGCCATGGAAGAGGACGAATTGCAGGGTTTAGTACCATTTTTTGTGTCGACTACATTGGGCACTACTGGCTCATGTGCTTTCGATAATTTACTAGAAATCGGTCAGGAATTACAAAAATTTCCCGGTGTTTGGTTACACGTTGACGCTGCCTATGCTGGTAATTCATTTATATGTCCAGAATTGAAACCTTTGCTTAAGGTAATACCGTGAACAATTATTCTATTACTTATTACTTCACATGCATATGACAATGATCTCCATTGCTTAGGGTATAGAATACGCCGATTCATTTAACACCAATCCCAATAAATGGCTGCTCACTAACTTCGATTGCTCAACATTATGGGTGCGTGATCGAATACGCTTGACTTCAGCTTTGGTTGTCAATCCATTGTATCTTAAACACGGTTATTCCGATGCTGCTATCGACTATCGTCATTGGGGAGTTCCGCTGAGTCGGCGATTTCGTTCTTTAAAATTATGGTTAAAATTACATTTAATATTTTGTGTGTACTTTTTGATTGAAGCAAAAATATTTACAGGTTTGTTTTGCGTTCTTACGGAATTTCTGGTCTTCAAAAGTACATAAGGCATCATATCGACTTGGCTAAGCGTTTCGAACAGCACGTTATAAAAGATAAACGTTTTGAGATTTGCAATCAAGTCAAGGTAATTTATTACTAACACAGCTTTCGTATTTCTATGCCAATATGCATCAAGCTTCTCTCCCGACAGACAGAGCGCAATTCTCTATTCTCTGTTCGAGAATACGGCTTACATTTGAAAATAAGTGTAAAGCGTAAATCTTAAGCAATTAAACAGTTTTATACCGCCTAATTAGGGAAGCGTTAGTAATTTAAAAAAACACAGAGAAAATTAATGATCTGCTGTAAAAATTACTTATGTACACACAACAATAACACACAAATTGTTAAAAGTATGTTAGAATTCTGTTCAATTCAACTTTCATGACGCTACGCAATACAATTCAAAACTACAAGTGCAGTAAGTGCAGAAGACAGCAAAACCTGATATCCGTGATACAAGGTCCTCGGAGTGTGGCGTCTGAGCGTTCAATTTTTCATTGGGCATCAGAGAGCACACTTCTCATAAAAGTAACTAAACGCAAAGTGAGCTTTACGACTTTAATTTTTTTTGGATTTTTTTGAATGGATTAGACCTGGTAACGATAAGACCGATTATATCCAATAACTTGATGAGTTTTTAATATGAGTTACTAATTTTCGTTTTCATTTATTAAGCAACAGCAATGCCATAGGCTTATTACCTAGTTACATACATATATTTTATCTCCAAAAAAAAAGAAACTATAACATAAATGAGCGTACACAAGTCAGCTAAATGGCTGCCAATGAAGCCATCGTGCTCGGTAAACTCGATTATCATCAACAAAATATTACATTATTAGTTTTGTAATGCGGTCAGTTTTCCTCTAAGCGTATTCAAAGATTTATTGAAAGATTTCAGACTCGGTGGTAAGGCATTCAATACTTAGCGACAGGGATAGTAAAAGATCGTTCGGCTGATGAGTTAGAAAACCGTTGTATTAATATGAAACGGTTTCCATTCGATCTAAGGATTTGCAATTGTTCTATGAAAAGGCTTGGGAATGATTTTGTAGAGGTAAATAATCAACTTGAATTTTAGATCGAAGAATCGAGAAATAAGCATTTTAAGAAAGCATAAACGTTAAATCTTCATGATCTATAATATGAAGTGGCGTGGTTGGCTTTACACATGTCCGTGAAAAGTTTAGGTCATTTCTAAATGCTTTTGCAAACTTATAGGGGACATGTTCATTTTCGTTAACGGGAGAATGTTTGCCACAGATACTACATAGCTGGACAGACGGACATGCTTAGGGGCATTCCAAATTTGAAACTGGCCAAGAATTTATATGCTAGAGCATAGCAGCAGCAGCAGCCCATCGAATATGCGTTCAAATGTTTTACATTTATATGTTAGAGTTTACGAGCAAAAAACCAATTTTTTTATTCTTTTGAAAAACAATTTAGGAGGCACTGTGGGCGTGTCCTTCGCGCAAGATCTTTCAATATTTCTGCAAATTTGAAGCCAATAGTTTCATTTTTGCGGCCAAAAGAATGTTTACAACAGACATTACGCAGCCGGACAGACGGACATGCTTAAGTCGATTAAAAAATGTGTGTGTGTCTCTGAAGCTTCCTTCTAGGCGTTGCAAACGTTTCGCCGAACAAATATACTCGTCATCCTTCGGTGACGGATACATAAAAACTTTGTGTTTTACTCGAATCTAATAAATCGATTAATGAGAAGAGCACGTAAGAGAAGAAAATTTTATTGCATAATTTGATTATGTGCATCAACATAATTTCTTTCTAAAGTCAAACGGCAAATCTATAAAGACATTAGTATTTTTATTAAATTACAAAATACATGAAAATCTTTCTTTCGCTTCACGAAATGCTGAACCAAGCTGAAGCTTGGTATAGCTATTCGCAATATAATTAGAACAGTTAGTAGTGTCAAAGCAGTCAAGATCAGAGCATAGGTCAATTTAGAACTTGAAAATTTGTCATAGTTTGGTGATATTGACTTTTATGATTTGTGTACTAAAAAATTGGAACATAATTTTAGGTGAAGAAAACAGTAACGCGAACGGTTGTTTTCTTTTTCATTATTCATCATTTTGGTTTCTCTTTCTTTTTTTTTTTCTTAAACTATATAAGTACTTAATTATTGTTTTTTTTTTTTTTGTTTTCTAAAGCTCGGCTTAGTATGCTTTCGTCTAAAAGGCAATGACAAGCTGAATGAAAAGCTACTGAGCGCTATTAACGAATCGGGAAAACTTCATATGGTACCTGCTTGCGTTGGCGAACGTTACATAATACGTTTTTGTGCCGTTGCACAACACGCGACCGAAGAGGATATCGATTACGCTTGGGATATTATTGTAGATTTTGCTAATGAATTATTGGAGAAGGAGCAGCACGACGAGCTCACTGAAATTATCAATAAAAAGAAAGAAAACACTCTGGCACAAAAGCGTTCGTTCTTTGTACGCATGGTTAGTGATCCGAAAATTTATAATCCTGCTATAAATAAAGCGGGTACACCGAAATTATCACTGGAAACCGCCTCACCTGTTGTTAGCCGCAGTGGTGCCGGCAATCCGGAAATACGCACTCAGAGCTCCGTTGATCATCATTCGTGGATATCTTGGCCATTGGCATTTCTCTTCAATAGCAATAACGAGGATAGCGGGCAGAAGAGTAACGTTTCATTGCGGTAAATTGCAAATTAATTAAATAATCCCTCTCGCCTACACCAACAACAAACTAAACTAGACGCATACATATGCGCTTTAATGTCTTTTCAATTCTATTTCAAATTCCCAATCACTCAATTATTGACTTGAGGTAGCAGACTGAAAAGCAAAGTAATATTTATTTATTTTTGTTGTTGTTGCTGTTGTTTTTTAAAGCAACATCTTGTTAGTGTTATATCACAATGGAAGGGTAAACATGTGGTTATGCTTTACTTTAAAATAAAGTAAGAGGTAAGGAATTTATATTCGGCTGTGACCGAGTCTTTTATACTCCTCAACTTTTTTCTGAAAAAAGGCTAAAAAAAGAATGCACGAACTAATTTTCGATATTTTATAATGTTGTGCATAGCATGGACTTTTGCCCCTTTTTTCTAGAATATAAAAGAGTAGAAATACTTATCGTTCGGCTTTTGCAATTTATGAGCGATTACCAAAGAACACAGAAGAAATCATCAGAGATACTCTCAATTAATGTTGCACTGCACACATGTTTCTTGAATCATTTGCCCCATTTTTACTGTCAAATTTGCGTGAAAGGTGCACAGTGTTCACATAGTCAAAGCTCAAAATAAATTGGGTGTAAAGTATAAAAGGGCGACTTTCAAATCATTTTAGCGTTCGACTTACTTCATCTTATTTCCATTAATGTTGTTGTTGTAGATGTTAATCCCAAACTCCAAGGCTGTATAGAACCACACAAAAGGAGAAGAATTTTTATGCATTTACTTTTGGGATGGATGTTCAATATTCGCAGCTCTACGAATTCAAATAAACAAACTTTTGGGCAAAATCCAAATTTATCCATTACATCCATTACACATCCCAAAAGCTGCAAACTTTCTTATGAACGCAAGATGTGATATATTTTAAAATCTTAAAGATTATATGAGAAATTGGACTATGGAAGAAACTGGCCTTTGAAATCTAAAAAAAAGGAAAGGATTTGAAAATTTCAGTGTTTTGCTTGCAGGCGACGACAAAAACCGAGATCCGATAATTTATTAGTAGTTTACTGTGAAAATGGTCTGCATTGTTAGGCCAATATTTCCGATATATATAAAAAATGTGTAAGAACATTATAGTCGGGCACTATTATTATATAAAATATAATATTACATACCCTACAACACTTCGCCTAGTACAGTTATTCGCTCGAAAAAGTACACATTATTTTCATGCAAAGCCCTAATTGTCATGAAAGCTCGCATGATGAAAGGTTAAACTTTTTCTCCATATAAGAGTTACCGTTTCGTATGGAGTCCAAAAAAAATATACCTATTTGATCCAAATTCACTACCGTTAATTTTTTTGCTGAAACGCTACTACGAATTAATTTTCATCCTAAAATATTAAAAATTTTCGAAGGACTTGTTACTCATAGGGTATCTTATATGGACTGGGGCCAAGAAATAGACCAATGTGTTTCAAATTAGATCCCCTTAATTTTTTTATTCAATTACTATCATAAACAAATTTTTATCAAAAACAAAAAGAAAGAGTTAGGCTTCTTTGGCGTGTAAGGGTTTACATTTCATGAGAATCCCTACATACGGGAGACCTATGTTGTCCCAATTGAGTAAAATTGATTTGTTTGATTTGTTTGATTTTTTGGGCCAAAGTACGTCTGTGTATGAAAGTTCATCAAAATATATAAAAAATTACAGCTTGAACACAAAAATACATGGACAGATATAAGACAGACAGAAAGGCTTAGAATCAGGATCATTTTCTAAATTGAGCGGTATAATAAAAGATGGGTCTATCTTAAGCGATTGCGGGTGGTATACGCGTCTACACTAACTTTATATACCATGTACTACAAGTGGTGTAGGGCACAAGAACTCTCTATTATCAAGGGTGTCCTTCAACCTTTATTGTTATACTTTATTCTTAGGCGTCTTTACTTTTATACTCTACGCCATCAATACAAGAGTGCACTAAGTTTGTTTGCACCGAGAAGGACTTGAGAATTACCCAGAAGGAATCAGAAGCAATTGCTGAATCGATCTAAGCTTGTCTGTCCGCCTGTTCGTCTTGTGTTCGTTCCTATGTTCAACCTACAATTCGCAATTTTCAGGATATTTTAATGACATTTGTTACAACAACATTACCCAAGGACGAGGATTGGAGCACTTTTTCAGCCAACTCCCATATTTTCAAAAGTCGTTATATGAACAACAAAGCGAAGTGGTGTAGGGTATTTAAGGCTGGACCTTGCCTCTCTATAGTGTATTTATTTGTTGTTATTTAATGTTATAAACACCATTATAATATGGCAATAATGAAAAATATGCCTTAAACGAAATATATTTGTAATTAGTCCTCCTAATATCGTAGCCAAGTTTGCATTTCTATCTGTCGGACTGTTCACTCAATGTTCACGATTACAAAAATTTCAGATGGCGTGCCGAAGACAATGGTACACGTCAGATGAATGGGTGATGAATTTTTTTCTTCTTTTTCATTTTCAGTTTTCGTCACTTGGACACAAATGTTAGGTCGTCTTCGTCACGACGCAGTTCAGCAGCTGGTTCCTCACCGTCACCGGAAAATGAATCAAATGTTGTAAGCGCAATACGATCACCTAAAAGATCTCCACGTAAGGGACCCTTAACCATCAATAGCATCAGCAATCAATAAATGCTTTTATGTTTATGTGAAGCTCTTACGTCAGAATTTTTAAAAACTCAAAAATGAATTTAACAAAGATATTAAAGAAGAAGATAAAAATGGAATTTCATGTTACAGTTAGTTCTTATCTGAAAGCTTAAAAAATTAATTAAAGTGAATTAAATCCAATTAAAGTAAACTTATTAACAATTATGTGAAAAGTTATTTAGAAAGTTTATAAATTATAAAATAATAATATAAAACCATAAAATGATATTTCAAAGATTTAGCTCTAATTTCCTCGAAACAAAATCCCTGAAGTGCCCAAGCGTTGAGCAATAAAGTTCAAATGTGAAGGGTTTGCATAACAGCATAACATTTTGTTTTACTTCTCGGTTGATGCTAAGTGGAGTTATTTTTTTTCCTAATTATTCGAATTTCTTTTCAGATTTATGAAGAAGGAGCCTCCAATTTTCAGCACAAAATCATTCTTAACCATGAATCCAAATATTTTTAATAATCGTTCAGCAATCGGAAGACGTCCATGAAAAGCAATTTGCTGAGAATGACTGATTTTTTTACACCCATCGTCGAAGGCTGAGGGGCATATCCATTTTGTCAAAACGTAAGCATGTCCATCTGTCCCACTGCGTACTATCTGTTACAAACATTCTTCAGACCGCAAAAATGAAGTTATCGACTTCAAATTTGGCAGAAACGTTGGAAGCTCGTGCACGCAAATTGGTATTGAAAATGGGCCAAATCGATCAAAGGACACGCCCACAGCACCATGTAAACTGACAAAACCTCTGTTTTTCAAACGAAATAAACAATGTGTTTTTTGCTCATTACACATAAACTATAGCAGCTAAATTTACAAAAAATTGAAATCATGTCTTATGAGCTGTGTTATAGTACCTGAAAAAATGGACAAAATTGACCACGCCAGCCGATATTACAATGTACCAAGGTTTTTTTTTTTCAAAGTTTCTTGACCAATTTTAAATTTGGAATGCATCGAAACATGTCCGTGTGTCCATCTGTCCGTCTGCCCAACTATGTAGTATCTGTGGTAAGCAGTTTCTCGTAAGGAAAATTGGAAACATCGCCTGCAAATTTGCGAAAGAATTTGGAAGTCACTTAAACTTTTCCAAGTACACGCCTACAATGTCCACACACCTATGCGACTAAAATTTTTATTTCGAAAGTAGAAAAAATCAGCCGCGCCCACTCCATTTTATAGGGCATTACAATATTTTTCTTTTACTTGTTCCTCTTGTCTTTTTTAGGATAACGGCCACGACCGAATATATTTTTTCTTTATTAAGTAGTACTTGGTGATGGATGCTACCCCGCCCGTCCGTTGTCGATATCGAGGCTTTGAAAGATACATGGAATATCCTCTCGAAACCTATTAGAGAACAATTTGATGGAATCCATGTTCACAGAAGCGCTCTCTAAGCATCCTCCTTACATAAAATGAGTTTATTATCTTCACAAGGAATCTCACCTCAAGTAGACTGAAAACAATTTTACTTATACTGATAAAAATTGTTTTGAGACAACGAATTCCGATAACGCTTGATATGGGGAAATTCCATAGAAATCCATGATAACTGTTTCCTTCAAAAGTTATGCTTATGTTGACAACCAAACTATTTTATTCTGAATCATTATATTTTTAAATTGATAACTATCAGTTATTTTTAGTTATATTAACTAATGGTTTATAAGAAATTGCGTCCGAGTTTTGCAGGAATTCGTATAAAAACAACCCATACGCTTACATACGTGTGAGTTACTACGTCAACGTGTATAACAACAACATACACGCAGGCAAAAACAAAAAAAAGAAAACATGCAGTAAATCTTCCACGCTTGCGTTTCTATTTATCAATTCCGCCCCCACGGTGTGTACGTAGAAATCTAAACAACAGCTTTAATTATCTAAACATTGACCGGCTAAGTGTAAACACAACGCGTGCAAGCATCGTTGCCTTCACATATATTATTCGTCATGTTTCGTATTAGGAGGAAGATCATTCATAGTTTCATCCCATCTTTTCAGAAATGATAGCAAGAGAATCGATCATATTAATAGAAATGCAGTCAATATTAATCCATCATAGCGGTAATCATTTTATTTAAATTTATATCAATCTAATCAAGAATCCTTGGGAATGTTAATATCTGTATGAAAGATATCTATGTGTTGGCGTGTGTGCATTGACTGTGCAGTAAACGCATATTTAAGTTAAGTATATTTACATATATTTAAGTTTTGTTTTCTGTTTCGCATATTAGTAATTTTTGGTATTAAGTGTTTAAGAGCATATGCGTAGCGCTAGTCAATAACTCTGGAAAGTTTATCTTCTGCACTATCAAGCAATTGATCTCCGTCGTTGATGAAACCCTTTACCACCTCTTTACTTTTGAGTTCAGATTTTGTCCCATCGTTTTCCTCTCTCTCCTTTTCTTCGCTATCTTTATCTTTGAGGTTAGCTTCATCGATCTTATCTTGGGTTCGGCTAATATCGTCTTTCTCTAAAGGGTCTTCAGTTTTCTTGGATGCAAAGAAACCAATTAATTTATCTTTCAAATTGGAAAAGAAGCGTGGATTTGCCGACCTTTCTACGTAATTATAATTTTGTAATTCCTCCGGCTTATTAATCACATCTTTGTACAATTGTTCGTCCAGTTGAGTTACATCAGATGAATCTTGACCTCGTTTACTTGAATCGTAATAATCAGTATAATCGGTTTTTGGTTGATAACGTTTCGGTTTCTGTGCCATAACAGTCTTCAAGTCTGGCAGATAACCGCGTTTCTTCAAATACATTATTGGAGATTGCCAATGATCTCTTAGATCGCTTATAATCTTATTGTAAGTATTTCTATAGAGCATACGATTGTTTTCATCATCTTCATCATCGGCGCTTTGGCTCATTGAAAGCATAGAGATTAAAGCGAGGGTGAATAATAATTGACTAAAGTAAAATAGTTCATTGGGAAATAATTTTTCCATTTATCTGACTACTTGAATTAAATTACCGTTTAAAAAATATACTTAGTCTCATTATTTCGCACGGTGTTTTTTTTTTTTTTTGTAAAGAATTCTTTTGAAATATTTTTATTCGTAAATGAAAAAAATTATTCTAAATTGAGAATTATTACTTCTCTTCTTCTTATTCTTCTTTTTTTGTTATTCAGCGAATTAATACCCGAAAATTCGTTGCGATGTGTAAAAAAGGCTCAATGTGAATATACAGTTCTTTGTTTGGGCCTCAGTAAAATTGCGGTTAGATTTGAAATATAATATTATTTTTTATTTATTTTAGTGATTATTTCATTAATATTTTTTTTTTTAACTTTGCGTGTTATACGTTCGCCACGTTATTTTTTTTTTTTATAGTTTTTATTAAAATACGTATAACACTCGTCACGTAGAATAGAACGGAAGAGCGAGGACTAAATTTCGATGTGTACGATGTAATGTGAGTTATTAGTATAAAAAGATACATGAAGGAATTGATGGGTGGGAGAACAAAAAAGTGTAAAAGACATTAGGTTCATAAATTGACTGCAGACGCTTATATGCCTTGATGACATGATTTAACAAAAGAAAAGATTGCGACGTAAGCCGTTAGATTGCGAGTGCGCAAAATGTCAAGAATGCTGCGGTCGCGAAGACCACACATACTCACTTTGCGTAGTGTGGAATGGCGAATAGAAGTGGTAACATTCTGACAGACAAAAAGGATATAATCAGGAGATTGCAAGACTCCATATGTGCGTAAAGAGTTGTTGTTTACTATGTTAATTTTGAATAGATGATCATTACATTTCATCATCGGCTTGTTAACAAAACAAATAATGTCACGTCTGAGTCCGCTGCTGATAAATGGAAATAAAGAATGTAAATGACGACCGTAAGTTGCATGCTTTTTGTCGATTGTCCTCAAATCTACAGAAGTCACAACACGATCAATAAAATGAAATCGTCTGGAAAATGCAATTTTATCTGCAGTGTTGTTGCCAATAATGCCAAGTAATCCAATAGAAGAGTATAGATTTTAAGATGTTGATATTGACAGAATCAAATGCTGAGATTATGTCCAGAAAGCGGACAATGGAAGTGTGGAGGTTTTTAGCAAACGCTGACTTTATTGCTGACCAAAAATTGGCAATGTTGTCTACATCTAAAGACAAATTGCAGATTGCTGAGAATATGTTCAGATTCGAGATACGATTCTAGACGTGAGATTAACAGCTTCTCGAAAATTTTTTTAAGCATGGAAACTAGGCAATAAATCTGTATGCATTAAGATGAACTGGCAACGTATTTGTTTTTCTATTTAAAATGAATAAAAATTTAACATTTGTCAAATTTCATGTCAAATGATTTGAAAGTAATACACAATTACCACAGCTGTATGTACTTGCAGCTTAGACGAGCCGAGAGTCTTTCCCAAAATTTCAAAGTGTGACCAGTACTTAAGATTAAGTCGATTATAGTGGTTTTTTGTCGTATTCTACAAATAATTCAATTTTGAACAGAGTCCGGTAGGTCTACACATCTTTACGGAGTATTTTCGTATGTAGCAAAAGGTTTTCTTTGGCTTAAGCATACTTCCAAGTCAGGCGTACGTATCAGGCGGTAAATATTTGTAATAAAATTGCAACAGAAAAATTTTACAATTTTACAATTGTAGGCTTCTTTCGGAGGAACGCTTATTCAAGGCTTGGTGTATTTTAGAAGTGAACATGGCAGATGGCTACACATAAACGAGTTGGGATATTTCGAAAATGGAATCGGCCAAAATGTGAGGACACGTTTAGTTAAGGTTGATTCAGATATTTTGGATGAACGTAACATTTGTTGTTGTTGTAGCTCACGTTTAATGGAATATAAAAATATTCATGTGTCCTTTCATTCGAAAAATGAAATGACTTGTATTGGATTGGATGTATTCAAGATCGGACTTGGAAGTAGAAGAAGAAGTAAGTGTACTTCAAGTCGTATTTTACTTCAATTCGGCACCATTTTATATAGGTAATGCTACGTATTAAGGTTCCACCTACTTTTCAGTTTTTGGTAATTGCGGACAAATTCTTGTTTCGATTTAACAATTTTTCGAACTTAAGCAAAAATTTGACAGGGTATTTAAAACACTGAACTAAAACATGTTTAAGAGGACGCAGATCACATATCAGTTTCACGATAATTGGGGGACGGGCCCACTGCACTGATTCAGCTGGCTAGTGGAGAATAACAATAAAAAATTTTGTTTCTGTAAACAATGGGTCCATTGTATTGACAGCAAGGTCAATTATTCTGTGCCTTTAAAATAGCGGACACGGCTCATCATTCAAAAGCATACAACCACTTCGCATAACACAGCCATGCACGATGACGACTTTTCAAAACAAGGTGTTATATGACAAGCGGTCG